CGTAACTCCCAAACCCTAAACCCCCAAACCCTCAGACCTTAAGCTCTCAAACCCCTAAACCCCCAACCCCTAACCCTAAACCCCTAAACTCAAAAACCTGGCTCACCTGAGCCCAAAATCCCCAGGTCCTCAGAAGCAGCAAAAACCAAATTTTAAGCATGTGAACAGGATCGACGACCAGCACCAAGACGAGGCGCAGTCAAGACTTTCTTTCTTTATTAAACTTAAAGTCCGCGGACATGTAGTTTATGTTTGTAGTATATGGGGTTTCCGAAAAATAGGGTACCCTAAGATAGTACCCTAAATAGTAGGATCCTTATTCTAAGGACCCCAAAGCAACGTGCCCCTAATGTTCGGAAACCCCCGTATGTTCCCCGAATCGCCAGGTGCGCCGGCAGCTGATGAGCCTTGCGTTGCGCGAGGCTGGTATCAAGCTGGCCGCTCGGGAAGCGACCAAACACAGACGAATGTAGGGTTTAGGGTTTAGGGTTTAGGGAGGGGCCGTAAGATTAGAATAGGGTTTTGGGGCCCCTTATTATACTATACTTATAAAAAGAAAACCACCAAAGTAGTATTGGTATCTAGTTAGGCCCCTCTATTAATCCCCAAGTCACTGCGAGAAGCCCTGAGGACGGGACCTGAACACTGAAGTCACTAAACGGCGCAAAGGCCCATGCAAAACCGCCTTACAAAGCCCAGGACATCAACATGGCGACGGACTTCCGCGGACGTGATTCTGCGGAATGGGGGATGAAGATCGATCTGTGGCCTGGCAGACTAAAGGACGAAGAGCTGTCGATAGATCCTCTGGGCAGTTGTTAGGCTATACTTACTCGCGTTGTATTTGGATTCTATAGCTGTGCTACAGCTTTAACTTGTCTTCAACCAGGTACGGGGGAACCAGTGAACAAGGTCATTAGGTGCCTTTTTGGGGGCTGTCGCACTTTCCTTGGCTTATGCAGTGCCTTCTCCGACAGACTACGGCATGTTCTTCGCAGGTTTGGTTGTTCAAGTTCGGAGGTTCGGAATCCAAAAAAAATTAGAGTTTCAGCATCTAGGAAAAGTAGCCGAAGACTCCGCTGCTCGCACTGAAAATTAGGTCGTGGTGTACAGGTCTAAGGAGCAAGACACTCCAGACCCGCGATGCTCCTCCCTGCCGTTTAAAACTTAAACTTAAGAGCAAGAACAAGACGATTCATAGCAAGAATAGTTGGCTTTTATGATTAATGGTTGGCGTTTATGAGTAATGAGAGCAAGAGTAGCAGTAGCAATAAGTGCACACAAAATCTTGCTTTCAACGGTTATCTTAGTTGCATGCGAGGTTGCAAAGGGTATTGAAGAAAGGGCGTGGCGTCTTGGGCTTCAGGTGTTGGTGGGTCTCGAACTCCCAGAATCTCGCTGAAAGCCCATAAAGCCAAAAAAGGTAGGATCCTCATGACATGGAACCCGGTCAGAGGGACTGCATGTTCCAAGCTCTGCCAAACGAACTAGTGACACTCTAATCCCTCAAGCTCGCCCTAGGGCCCCAATCCCAGGAAGTCTTTCCATGCTCTGCACCAGACAAGGCCGGGATGTCCATGAAGATCTGGCTAGAGGGGCTTTTCATAATATAAAGCCCAAGGCCGCATGATACTGTAAGTATACTGGGTCTAAATGGAAAGAGTCTGGCTAATTGCACGTACGCCTATACCAGACCCATAAACAGCCCACACCGCACTGGTCGTCTATCCGGGCACTTTTATTCTGGGTTTTTCCGGGCTCGTGGAGAAAATCGAAGCGCACTATTGTTGTCGCAAGAACAGGTTGCACTTATGGTCCCTAACCCCCCATGCTTGCATAAACTAGTACGCACAGCACGCGCCTTGGGGCGCCAATTGTGCTGTGGCTTCAGGTCTCAGCGTTTAGGCATGCCACATTTGTTTTGCAGGTATTCGTGCATTGCCCAGAGGCTCCAATGTAGTTCCTTTTGGGGTTTGTTATGGTTTTTGATAAGGAATTATAGTATATACTATCCAAAAAGGAACTACATAGGAGCCCTTGGGTAGTAGGTTCTGTCCCAGCTGGCCTTGGTTCTGGTTTCTTCGATACAGTGCCCGAAGCTCCAGACCACAAGGAGGAAGTAGCTTTGTAAGTTTGATGGAGGCCATTATCGAGTGATACAAATCTACCTATAGTCTCTATTGTAGTTCCTTTTTGGGGATACCCTATAGAATCCTTAATATATAATTGGTTAAACCAAAAAAAGGAACTACAATGGAGACTATAGGTATGGTGCAGAAGAACGCCCCCCTCCCCGCCCCCGACCGTTCGGGCACCCATAGGCCCGAACCCCTACACCCTACACCCTAAACCCTAAACCAAAACCCGAACCCCTAAACCCTAAACCCCAAGCCCTACACCCCAAAAACGCAGGGCTTTCATGCAGCTGAAGTCCGTGGGCTTGGATGGAAAGGACCACTCCCAGTGGCTCTCAGACGGCTCCAGCGCCGCCAGCCCCTGGGACCCCGAAACTCCAAGACCCCGCCCGAAACCAAATCCGAAACCCTAACTTATCATAGTTCCCCAATAACCCAACCTTTAAACTTTTTGGGTTTTTATAACTTAGTCGTGTTCTGAAAGTTTTACCTTTTATTTCCTTGGCTTATTAGGTAAGTAAGTTATATCTGAGCGCTACACCTTAGGCAAAAGAGGGATCCTTGACCAGAGCTGAGGTATCTATGCAATATACTTTAGATCTTTTGGGGATGCTTATCTGAATACAGGCCTATTCTTGCCTAACCAAGGGGTTTTTGGAGCCGCTGGCACCGAAGCGGTGGGCCTTAGCGTTCTAGTTCATAGGGACGACCCTAAACCCTGGCAGCCCTAAACCGGAAATTTGCTCTTTATACGCGCTTCAGAAGGGCCTTGATATGGGTTGCTTTGGACGGAATACACTAGGCGTCGGAATGATTACCAGTACTCTTCAGTTGGGTTGTAGTATATTATGCCGCCGAAGCCTTATTCCAATTATTGAGGCCCATGTATTGCTTAGTAGTCGACCAGGTAGCCTTTAACGTTCTGGGTTTATACAATCCTTCCATAGTTCAAAAGGTTAACCGTTCTTGTTGGGCTAGGGTGCTCAGCCCCTAAGATTCTGTGCTTATTCTCGAAGTTTCCTCAGTTTTTTTAGGGGCCCTAAACCCTAAACCCCTTAACCCTAAACCCTAAACCCTAAACCGTGTGGAGTGTACGGAGCGCCTCTAACCGGCCAGGAAAGCCCGATGCAATTTTTTGGGGGGGCTCATTGTGAGAAGGTTCGGCTACACGCAAAATGATGATTTCCTTATAGAAGTCCTTGAAAAGGTAGGTTCCTTGGGGTCTAGGGAAGCCCTGAAAGGTTTCGAGTGTGAGAGCCGGAAAGGTTTCGACATCCAGAGTAAGCTCCAGAAGGAGCAGAACTTGCTGGACATCTCCTTCAAGCTCCTCGCCCTGCAGTAGGGAGGGGTTGAGTTTGGGGGGAAACTCCCCCAAGTCAGAGCAGGAAATAATGTAGGGGCCTAAATAGTTACCAATACTATTTTGCTATATTATAGGGTTTTGGCGTTGCCGGTGACTCGTTCTTCCTGATTTGAAGAGTTGAGGAGCTGCAGGGCAAGGGGGTGCGAAGCTTGAGCTTGAGAGGCTGTTGGAGTAATTTCAGAAATTTTGCTGGCATAATTACCCGTGCTTCAACCATGTGAGCACGCCATCTACTCATCGTGAACCGAGAGAGACAAAGGAACGAGATAGCTCGTCCCAAGACTTCGCAAGGCAGACTACCCAGTCTAAGGGCGAGATTTGCGGAGCAGCAGAAACCGCCATCACAAGAGAACTGTAGCTAGAGCCAAAACAGTCATTAGCAGCGAAGGCCAGAATTCGAAATCAGACGTATTTCAACTGAGTAAGGATGTCGAGGTCATAAATGTTGTAGGCCTACCGCCGAAGAAGCATTTGTTGCACAGAACCCTCCAAACTTAAGCCCTTTGCTCAGCACCCGAACTGCCGCTCGCAAGTTTCATGCCCGTGGAGATCAACCTTCTCGAGGGAATCGTGGAAATGGTGTCTCTTCTGCCCTACTTCTAGGGTTCAAGCCACGTTCTCGACATACACACAAGCCCTAGGCTCAACTCTAACCGATCAACCCGATACCTCAACGAAGATGTGTGTTTTGCATTTGTTGCAATCAGGTGCGGGAGGGAGGGCAAATCCATGGAGTCCCGAAGTAAAAAAAAAAAAGGAGCGGCAGAGCAGCAGGATTCCGACACCTCTGAAGCCATGATGCCCTGTCCTTACTCCCTAAACCCGCGGACACTGCCAACATCCACAAGCCTTGCAGCCCGACGCATACGGGGGGTTTCCGAAAATAGGGGACCCCACTATAGCACCCTAAATAGTAGGATCCGAAAATATGGGATCCCACTATAGTACCCTAAATAGTAGGGTCCTTATCATATGGACCCTTAAATAAGGTACCCCCTTATGTTCGGAAACTCCCATATCCCTAGTTGTCTGCAGCCCTCGAGCCCATCGCTTCGAGTGAGTCCCTTTCGTGACGCCCGTGCATGACTTGCTCAAGGGGATCATGAAGCCTCACCGCTTCAACGTGGTTGGATCCACATAACCTTGAGCCTCATAATGGTTTCGAAGTTGAAGGGCGCCGTGCGGCAGTCGGGGTTGAGGGGTTAAATTCAACATGAGTAGACCCGCCACCATCACCACCACCACCACCACAGCCACCCAGCAACAGCAGCGACAGTAATGTCAGCGCGCGTAGCAACAGCAGAGGCACTTGCAGTTCCAATGGCAGGACTACAGATCGTGTGCGACTCCAGGATCACTGGCAGGAATAACAGAATAATACGACCATGGCCATAGTCGTGATGGTGATGACGATCAAGATACGTACGGTGACACAAGAGTAAATGAATCATTCACCATCTCCCAGAGACTACAGTAGGAGACGCCAGGTATAACCTTGTATGAACGAAGGCACTTTGCAGCTGCTTTCAGGTCTCTTTCGGGTGAATTCCGTTCTAGGAGGCACCCCGTCATGGTAACATAGCTTGCGAGATAACTACCGATAGTATTTTTGGGTGTTCCTTGTTATGACCATAGTACTATACCCAGGTCCCGATTCTATGCAGTTGTTCGAGAATATTGGAGAAGTCCTCAGAAACCCCTACCCCCCGCAATCCTTAGAACCCTAAAGACCCACAAATCCCGCACCCTCATAGAGCCTACGCGTTATCCCCGAAACCCGAGACCCAAAATCCTTAACCCTAAAACCCTGAAAACCCTAAACCCTGAACCCTGAACCCTAAACCTTGAACCCTAAACCCTGCACCCTGATCCCTTAACCCTAAACCCTAAACCGAAAACCCCAACCAGGTCCTGGAATTCTGGCGTGAGCCCCCGCGAGCAGAGCTGGAGGTCCTGCAGGAGGTTCAGGCCGGGCTGTCATCGGATAAGGGTTGCGTAGGGCACATATTTACATACGTACATACATACATACATACATACATACATATATGTATATACATATATATGCACATACATATATGTATATGTATATATATATATATACATATATATATATATATACACACCTATACACATGTATATGTATATGTATATGTATATGTATGTATGCATATCTTTATCTTGTATGTGTGTATACATATATACACAGAAATATACATATACTTATTCACACATATCATGGGGATATCTAGCGGATAGAGATATGTGCTCATCTAGGTTTGTCTCTGAAGACCCGGTGACTTGAGAAGCCGGAGAACGCACCTTGCATCTTCATGTGACGTGCTGGGGGTTCTGTCCCTAAACCCTAAACCCTAAACCCTATAGCTCGCGGAAGACCCTTTCTCGATCTCGTGTTGCCTTGATGCCCCTGCCACTTTCATAGTTGGAATGGAGGTATCTTATACTATACGACTGTTCATACTCAGAATACGGAAGATAATCATATGCTGCAACCGAGGCGCCTGGAGTATACTTAGAATATCGATATGTTATACCGCGATAGTTTATACGAAAATCAAGGCAGCTACAGTATGGCAGGACGAGGAAGAAGTCGATGAGGGGATGGTCCAGGCCTCAGACTTCGAGAGAGCGGGGCGATTCCCCATCAGGACATCTGGGCCCCCTAAAGCAGAAATGTAGGGCTTCAGGGTTTAGGGCGTAGGGGTAGCAGGAATTTAGGGCTTCAGGGTTTAGGGCGTAGGGGTCGGAGTAGTGGGGGAATTATATGCTTGAAGGCAAGAGCAACTAATGCCCTGATGTGTTCTCACGTGGTGCCAATTCCGGTTATTACCGGTTCCCATGATAGCCATCATGAGATGACATTGACGTCAATGATTGTAGGTGTGCCAATGATTCATGATTCATGGTCATGAAAAGGGCAGACTGGCAGATGGGGGATACGGTTGATGATATAAATTCTGCATTGCCCATAATAAGGAATAGACCATAAGTCCCATAGTTTAGGGTCCTTAAGGTAATGAAGGATTTATATCATCAACAGTACCACGACTTAATATCAAAGCAAAGTCAAGCAAACCTTTAGGGCTTCGGCCTTATCTTTGCTAGTCTTT